CAAAACAATGAACAATAGAATAGAGTAAAACGGACGAATCCGAGTATTTCAAACATGCGAAAAACGACATTTCATATGCACCAACCTAATAAATACCTTTGCAAAGAGCATGGAATCGTTATCGAAGAAGTACTTCTAATGTTGTGAACATTCTTAACGACACAAGTCAGTACCCTCGTGTTTGCGACCGTGTATTTGTTATGGAATCGTCACGACGATCGTACCCAGCGGAAATTGAGTTTGCTCGGCACGAAGTAACATAGAGAAATAAGTATATCGTTAGAACGCGAGACAATGTACCAAGTAAAGCGTGGTCGATGCACGAGGTGAATGCATTGTCGCTCGACCCTGATTGCTTCTGCTGCCGTCGCTGCACCAGCAGAGATAGCTCAATTGTTGAACAATCCAATGCTACTAAAGTTCATTCACGGTGCGTCAAGAGCGTCACCGTTTTTAAGAAACGTGACTTAAGACCTTTGTATCGGCGTAAATTAATGTAACTCGACTGTAATAATTGTTTTAATGAAACACAAATTGCGGTTAAAAGAATAACTGGTTGTACAAAGAATTACATGGAGATAATTTAACTCGAGATTAGTTCTTGAAATATTCAGAGATTTTTAGGGAAACGGTGAGACGTTACGGGAAAGAAAATTGACACGCGCATACCACAGATACCCAACAAAGAGACAAACGTTACGATGGTCAAATCACTTGGAAACATCATCGCGCAAGATGATTCGCGAGGTGATGCGTCATCGGTTGCGATCTTCGTCATCGACATCGGTTCAAGTGGTGTTGACCCGGGGCTCGTTCCCTTGCATCCATGCGACTCGTTACGAATTCGTGGGAACGCCATGACAATCCCATACTAATTTTCTATACGACGCACAGTGGGATCGAATTAGACAAACGCGATTGAAATTGAATTTTTCTTAGTTATCGGAATTTAATCGAATCCGTGTTCAATATGACGAGCATTAAGAGGATTTCTTAGGGGTGTATAACATGGAGGGGTGTGGTAAAAAGTTGCATTTGCAGTAAATAATTAGGGAGTTTAGAATGAGGTTTAAAATTTAATTGAAGTTAAAACAAAGCTTTACTTTAAATATTTTTGGAACATTTAGAAACCTTCTTCAACCTACTGGAACATAAAAGTGCAAGGGGTTGTTGCAGTGATACAGGTGTCGAATCGATTATATTATTTTTTTGTTGGATATAATCTATTGCAAATAAAATATTTCCATGACCTATTCTGTAACAATATAACTGACCCAACGTAGTGATCTAATTGTATAAAAATATTTGTCAAACTGACTTGGAAAGCATTGCAGCTTCTTAGTAATTTTCCCTTCATTTCCAATAACTCACACCCTTTGACAATTTAATAATTTTTCAGTAACCTTATGTTTCTCTCAACGCGTCACCAGCTTTTTCAATTCTTTCCCACTGTGCGACGCTTGCGTTCGCGCAGAACGTTCGGTAGAATAATTACACTCCAAAGATACGCGTTAAAAAGTTCTACGCAAACGAGTTTAACAAGTTCGAGGCGCGAGGGGAGCCCCGAGGGAAACAGATTTCATCTCGTGCAGCTTGGAACGTGAATTTATAATGTTCTTAAACGTTTCTAACGCAGTGAAAGGATACCGAGCGCGTGCATAAGAAATCAGGCGAATAATCGTTAATTAAAATAACATTCCATCGAGCGCTCAAGTGGTGATAACAAACCCTCGATTGGCAGTGGCTTCTCTATAGCGACAGTTTAACTAGCAATCGACGATCATTCGATAATTCAACCGTCATCGATCTCACGAAGATCGAAAGAAAAGATCGCCGAACCTGCTCCAATTCTCCATGCTTGTCGAAACGAAACAACCCTCGCATTTACGTATTCGGTTGTTATTCTTCTACTTTTTCATCCTTTTTATTGATTCATTTTATATTTTTCAGAAAATATTGGCACCATTATAAAAGCTGAGGAGTATTCGGATACCGTACAACTTTTTATTCATGTTTGTCAGTTTTGTTACGATTTCAGGCTTATCCTTTTCGTTTGTTGACGATTCGGGTTTAATCACGCCCATACAGTCCAAATAATTAACGAGATCTTGGAATTTATTTTCCAAATCCTGAATCTTATTTTATAATCATTATAAATGATATTTGTTTGAAATGAACATATCGTTTGAATCTAGAAACTTGGAGTCGTGCTCTGTTCCGTGTTGTTCGTTTTCGGGTAGCTTTCCATTGGACGCAGAAACACGAATCGTAGCCGCCGTCGATCGTCGTAGATCAGTAACATATTTCTGGTTCGCGATCCACGATCGTTACATACCCACCGCGAAATTGTAGCGTTCGATTCGAGTCTCGACTTCATGGTCGGCTGGCTACCGCTCCTCTATGTCTTTCCTCGGCATTACTGAAGAGAGAAAAGAGAGGAGACGTTGCGTCAAGAACGCGAGGGAACGCGTTCTTGCCTCTTCCGCAGGTTGCTGCGGCTTTTTCAACCGGCCGATACTCCGTCGAAGAATTCAATGAAGAATCGGCGAATGATCTTTGATTCCGCCGTTTCCCTCCCATATTTGGTACCTCGCTTTTATAAGATCTCAATGCTGCTCTTTCTTCCAGCAATATTCTGCCGATCGATCGACATAAACCGCGCGTCATCGAGGCCAGAGATCGATCGAGAGATAATTCGTCGCGTGCACGAGGGCCTCTTCTAGTAATAAGCTGTTCGATTGTACATTTATTTGAGAGAATTTAGATAACGGGAATATTTGGAGTAGATTGCAAGGTTTTATCTAAAAATACACATACATGTACTAAGTAATGCAAATCTGAACGGGGAAATGAAGCCAGAATAATTAAAATAACACATTCATATTCTAGTGCACACATTTGTTATTCAGATTTTCATATGTCTATCTTAAAATGAATTTATTTAACGCGAGATGTGACTCGATCTCCCTTCATGAATGTTATAATAAATGTTTCACGAATTAAAATAATATTACGTTGTTTACAATATAATTGACCGTTTGTATTTGTTCCTTTTTTTTATTAAATATAGTCATGCGTGTTAAGCCATACTTGTATATTGACAATTATTTACAAAAAATTTAATTCATTCATGAGTATATTTGGAAAAATGGAAACAAATACATTAAAATATATATACATACAATTTAAAGTTATATAAAGTTCATACAACAACTAAAAAATAAACAACTTTTGATCCATTCAACAAAAATCACAATTTAGGCTATAAATTGAAATTATCGAGACTCGCGCGTTCCATGAATGTCCGCGTGATGAATAAGTCGCTGCAAGGTATTCGTAATCACGTTAGTTATCTATTACTCGAATGCAATTTAAGTTATCTTTGACAAGCGTCTGCTCCAGTTAATAAACAGTTCGATACAAGCGCGAAAAATCGTCCAATCGCGAGATAATCGTCAGCGATCCGTTATCCGAACGAAATAAAATATCAAACACCGTGTAGACACGAGGAATAATAGTGTCATCGTCAATTTCAAATCTAATCATGCGCTACGTAAGCGTGCTCGCGGCACATTATTCATCCGCGTTCGCTGGATTGAGAATCAATTCTTAATTAAGCATAGCGTAGTCACTGGTCATGCGCGAATAGATTGTGTCGCAGTAATAAAGACTGACACGAGAAAGCACCTGATGGCGTGTTTGATGAATTCAACAAAAGTTCCAACGAGATGCGTTGTACCATTGGCCTCATTCTTGCCCGAGCGCTCTGGGTGAACCGATCTTATTAAGGCCTAATTAGCCATTTAACAAGATATATTTAACTCACCGTGTACACAGCAGCCATGTGACCAAAAACGAAGGAATCTGTGGTCCAAACAATTGAATTGTTCCAACATTTGTTATAATTTAGATAAAAATGAAGCACAGATTTGCCTTATACAGAGATGAGATAAATTCTAATTAAAGATCTCCAGTGAAAAATAAATAACAAAGCTCAATGTTGCTCCAAAAATTTTGTCATTTATTCTGCTCCATTCTAGCCTTATATGCTATTCAGAATTCAGAATCGTTACTCCAATTTTATTTTCACGACCTAAAGGGAAAGAGTCACGCCCATGTGACTCTATCACCGGCTTTTCATTTGCTTATCTCCAAGGTAATAGTGTCTGCTTATTGTTTCGACGAGATAACGAGTTCCTTGTCTTTAATTTGATAAGGTGACTTAAGATGAAACGTACATGTGAGGTGTACGATTAGAGCCCACACCGAGGTGTGTTTGTGTTTTGCTTTTGCGAGAAAAACACGAACATGTAAAAACTTCCTCGAATAAACATCATTTCCCCATGGGAGAAAGATAACATTTTAACTAAACACGACGTTCAAATTTTATTCGAAATTAATCGAAATACTTGCACTTAAAAATTTATATTAAAATATCGACTTTTCTTGGAGACATAAAATTCATATTTATTATCGAACTCAAACATCAAAACATGAATGTTATTTACTAATTTACTGTAGATTACTGAAAAATTGACTCCATTTGGATAACGTGAATCGTTCTTTAAATCATTAATATCATTATTATCGCAGATAATTGATTCCAGATTTCGACATTCATTGTTCCGTGTCTGCAAATAAACACGTATTTCATAAAACATAATCTACTTTTATCCTATAGACTCTCTCGGTTGAAAAAGATAAATTGATTGCAAAAACGCAAACAAATAGGAACTCATTATCATAACAAACTGCAACAGTGACTCGAATGTTCGTTCAAACACAATCTTCAAATTGATAAACTATAAATGACGATTATTTGCCAACGACAAATAACGATCACGTGCGGTTGCAATAATACGCGCAACTGTTTCGAGTGCAAGCGTTCGACGCTCTTCGATTAAACACAGGACGTCACATATGTTTAATATTAAAAAATAACAAATTTTACGTGAAATCTGGTATAATTCGACTAATGGAAACGTAAACAACAAACTCACCTCTTTCTTCGATGACGTCTGCGTTAAGGACGTACACCAACGTGAAGAGCACGCAAACCCTAAGAATGTTGGCTGGTCCCATCTTTTATCCAGGGCCTTTCAATCCAGGAAGAATTCCTCTGGCACCCTCACAATAAAGATCGACGCATATCCACTACACTAGCACCGCACACTGTATAAATACCGCACTGAATTTCACTCCGAATTTTTATACGCCCTTCGAAGCATGCAACGACGACAACAACGGAAACGGTACCAAGTTTCACATCGAGGAACGTCCACCGACTCGCACCACGTTCCCTTATCGCGATCGTGCGGTTAAAATTTCACCGGTATCACCCCGACAGGTCTTTGTGTCAATCCACTCGCGAAGAGTCAAAGTCTACATCGTATTACACTATACCTTCAGTACCGCGAATTCTTCGGTGTCAAACAGCGATCGCGGATAATCAGAACGCGAATTCACGGCGGGCACACCGTGTTGACTCCGATTTCACTGTGATTCGTATAGTAGCGATGCCGGTATCGCGATCTTTCGTTTAATTCCGCGATATAGGCACCGAGATTGCGTTGATTTTAACTCGTTAACACTCACTCGCGATTTTATATATCACGACAACGATCGATCGATCGAGAGAATCGACGTTCGCGAACGTGAAACTTGAACGTAAACGAAAGAAGGCGATTGATCGACCACCTTCACAGGCGTCTCTCGTGGACAGCCTTACTCCCACGCTGGCCGAGTCAAGAATACGCGCGCCTTGTCAAAGACTAGTCGTGATTCCGTTCGAAGGCGACAGGTGGCGGTCGGAGTGGGCCCGACACGAACCCTCACGAGTGCCACCGACGATTCACGAAGTTATTTCAAAGAAAGTGCCCCGGGAAACCAAGAAACATTTTTTTTTTTTTTTTTTTTTTTTTGGGATACGTAATAATTAAAATTCCGATTAAAAATCGGAAGGATGTTTATCAGTCATGGCCTCGAGGTTTCTAGGAACTATGATAGCAAGAATGTGTTTATATTTCTACGAACATCTACCATCGTGAAATGTACAGTTGGATAAATTTTATAAAATAATTTAAGCATAATCTATCTATAGCAAACGATTTCGAAATGTAAACGATAGCGAAATGAACAGTTGGATAAATTTTATAAAATAATATAAGTATAATCTATCTATAGAAAACGATTTCAAAGGGTGTTTCAATACAAAATTCAAATCATTAGTATTATTATCGTGACTATAAATGTATAGTTGGATAAATTTTATAAAATAGTATTAGCATAATCTATCTATAGCAAACGATTTTAAAGGGTGTTTCAATACAAAATTCAAATCATTAGTATTATTATTATCGTGACTATAAATGTATAGTAGGATAAATTTTATAAAATAGTATTAGCATAATCTATCTATAGCAAACGTTTTCAAAGGGTGTTTTAATACAAAATTCAAATAGTACCATTATTATCGTGACTATAAATTGAACTATGTTAGTAACGCCTGTTATTTTGTGTCCCCGAATAAATATAATCTATGTTTATTCTATAGCCTTGAATTCTCTCAGTTCGGAAAGATAATTCAATCGCAACAAACGCCAACGAATGGAGACAGACTATTATAACAAATTGCTACAGTGACTCGAATGATAATCTAAACATTGATAAACTATAAATGACGATTATTTGATCGTCACGAACAACAATCACGCGCGTTTGGAATAATGCGCGCAACTGTGCCGGTCAGATTGGGCCTAGCGGGCCCCGACACGAGCCTTCACGAACCTCGCCGACGATTCACGAAGCTGTTCCGAAGAAAGTGTCCCGCGGACGAATAAAACATCTTTTTTTTCTGTATCTGACTGAAAATCGGAAGGACGATTACAGAGTATATATCCTCGACATTTCTAAGAATTATGATCAAGGAATTACTTGTGCATTTTCGAGAACACCTTTTATATAGTACTTCTACTCGGTAACGTTGCGTTTGAAAACCGCGAAATGACTTGAAATTGTAGAAAAAGTTGTATATGGTCGATTGAGATTCAAACGCATCGTTTAAACGGTCATTGTCCAGCCAAGCAGGTAAGACATGTAGGCATATACGGCCCTGTCGATTCCTTGAAGACAGTAGTCGTTTCATCGTCGCAAAAATCGCCGTGAGACTGGTTTCTCGTCGTCATGGCACGCACCTAGAGTACGTGCGTACGTGCAACTGGCTTTCTCGAAGGAAACTCGAGACGGACGGAGCTGTAAACAGCGGCGAAACAGGGAAACACGCATAACGTAATAAAAATTGATATAACACGCAATACATCTTCAGAGTAAAATTACAATCTACGTGTGGTTTCTATTTAAGTTACTTAAACTCATTTTTTGTTTGATTTAATACTGACATGTTTTTTAATTTTTTGGTTTGAAATCGTTACTGGAATATTTACATTTATTTGTATACCTGTTTAAGCCTCGAAAAATGAACGAATGAAATTAAAATACAAAATACAAACAATTGGCGCTAGAAAAATGGATAATTAAAATGTAATCGATAAGACAAAATAATAAACATTTTTTGTTGGCATTCTACACCTTATGATAGTTTTATTTCAACGTTTAAAATTTCAATGCGTCTACTTTCAAGAAAGATACAGATCGAACATTTGATTATCGGACATTTTTAGGCGGTCATTAGTGCCACTTTACTGTTAAACGTTTGGTAGCACTGTGGTCAAACAATCTTTTACTGAGGAGACATGTGACGCGACGTGTTCGGTAACAAGTGAATCTTTTAGATAACTTCGGGATTATTTTTTACAACCATAGTAGGCGTAGACTTGGTCGTTTAAACGGCAACTTTAAGTTGTCATCCAGCAGACTTGTAGATAATATCGATTTTTAATCGAATGACCGATTTAAAAAAAACGCGTACCCGTTTAATTGTGTGTGTTTTTGGATCGAGTGTAGAAGAGATGTTTTTTCGCACTTCGTCGATGTTAGAAGAAAGACTGAGACTGTAAATTCAAGGGAATTTTTATTCATGCGATATGTCTCGATTGGTGAGTACAAATAATATATCTTCATTCTTGTCGTAGCAAGTTTTTGTCAAAGACCATGCTACATAACCACTGTAGGTTGGCGTCATACAGAGACGAGCAAAATTCTTTCCTAGATGAAAGTGTCGAATAACCAGTAAAAGGAAAATAATTGTTTACTCATTGCTCTTTTGGTAGAACATAAAATTTGACGATGCAAATTAATCCTATAATTCGAATTGCATGATGAAATTATTCATAGTAAACCAATAAAAATTGAACCAGTCGGAGAAACACAAATAAACAGCTACTTGTTAGTTTTATTCCTTATCTACTATGGCAAATTGATATATTAATGTCAAATTTATGACATTGATATTGAAAATGAAATTGCTTAATTAAAAGAATTTTAATTTTGACGGTGTCTCATTATTTTCTTTATAATTGTTAATAAGATCTGACTTCTGAAAAATGTACGCGAATGTTTTCGTGGCAAATTTCTTTTACCGTACACTTTTTTTCGTTTTAAATCATTATACCAGATCTTTCGGACGCGGTGGATCCCAGATGGGATCCAGGATCCACGAAGTGCGCTTTCTTTGGGCAGTTTTTTCTTTCCAGGAAGAAACCCAAACGAATATGTTTGCTGTCGAAGCCATGCGACACCAGCAGTTGGGTATATGTATTTGAAAAAATTGTGTACGTTCTACTCGCCAACGGAAGAAATCTTTCATTAATTCTTCCTTTATATCATGTCAATGTGAACGTAACAAGAGTTTTATGAACTTAGGTGAGAAGTTATTTTGTAAATACTGAAAACCAAATGTAATTCTTTTTGAAAGTTTTGAAAGAGAAAAATTTTGTCTCTTATATCTCATAATGTGGACTACATTACACCCTGTGCTCTTATTTAATAGAAATTAATTAACTGAAGAGGATAGTAATGTATAGAAACAAAAAAAAATTTAACTACACCGTGATTTCACACTTCGATAAAAAAAAAAAAATAAAACATGACAGTTTAATACAATCTATCGTTTTTTTTTTTTACTCATGCCATTATGATTGGTACCTTTTGATAATATAAACAACGATTAATTTTTCCAAGTCCAAGATTTGCATTCTAAATATGATACAAATTATTAAATATAAAATGAAGTTAAAAATAATATACTACACAATGGAAAGCATATTCGTCTTAATCTCAATTTTTACACAACGAAAACAAAATGTATTACTCAAGGATAAAGAAGGGGACGAAGTTCGCCACACACTTTGTTTCTCTTTTTACATTCGTTTATTATAAATAACAAGATGTATATTCGGTGCGCACGTGTTGTTTAACCTGTATATTCATATATATACTCAAGCTCCGTCTAAGTTTATTTCGCTTACTGTACTATACCTTGTTTACTTTGACTTGTCAATAATATATTTCCGCTACAATCTATTTGACGTTACTGCGTGAGGAGATTTTGGAAATCTGCTTCCGAGGCAAAAACTCCACGTAGCACCTCAAAGAAAAAAATCGTTATCCTCCCGCGAGATTGTAGTGGCATCTGATACCGATTTTAGTGATCGATCGTGTGCAAATGAATTCTTAAACCCTTCGTAACCAACAACGACGTCAAGATCTCGCACCCCGTTCGAGCGTTATATAGACATTCAATCACCGTTAGCATCTCAATTAAAGCGCGGACACGGTTCGAACGCGTGTCGATAATTTGCAAATTTTCTTTTTCGCAACAACCAACAACGAATCTATATATATAATTCGTAAATTAGCATTAATGATATGCGTCACCCTGCAAAAATCTTCAATGAAAGATTCGAGATCACGATTAGATCGTACAACGGTTATACAATATACATATACCGTGTTTATCACACTTCGCCACGATATGTTTCAATCAAATACAATTAATGGGATAAACGTGCTGGATTTGAAATTCGTGGATCTAATCCGTTCTTGAATGTTTCTATAATGCAGTTCCAAGAGCGACCGTGGAAACGAAGGGGTTAAATGGTAGTGTGTGTCGGGTGGTCCTTAAAAGCTACATTACTCATATAGCGCTCGCGTTAGCAATGATTAATGCGTGCATCCCTTCAATCCTTCGGAATCGGGCCTCAAAGTTACTAATACTAAGCTGTCGACTACGTCTGTCTTCAATTCCGCCATTTGTCTAAATAACGCGCCATTAGGCATACATCTAGAATATATTCGTTCTTTTATAAACTCTCTTTTACATGAAACGATTAAACCTTCGTCCCCTCGATACGTCCTTCGACTTTAACTTTTGTCGTGTTTTCGCGCATCAACTTCCCCTTCGACCGGTTATTGTTATTATTGTTCTTGTTCATCCGTTGATCGAGCAAGGATATTCATCTCGCAACGTGCACAGTACACGCTATTAATGGTCGTAAATGCCGTACCACGTTGCCAAAAATTTTTTTCCGTGATGTGTAGCTTGAAATAAATTCAACGATAGTCTTATCGGAACGTTATCTCGATCGTTTTCCAAAATTTTTACAGGGATTTTGATACGATCACGAACTAAATTGGTTAGAATTCAAGATTAGGTTGACGACGAGCTTGGTAATAATTGTAATTCATTATTGTTGTAGCGTCAGCCTCGTCAGAGTGTTTCCATTCTTCTTTGACTTCAGACTATCATTTCTGAAATTCGATATTTAATTTCAACTACTTCAATTTGAACATCAAACTTTAATCATTCCTGAACTATCAGGTTTAATTTCAACACAATTTCTCTCGAATTGAAATTCAATTTTTCCATTCTCTATCTACTAAATACACGATATTTAATTTCAACTACTTCAATTTGAACATCAAACTTTAATCATTCCTGAACTGTCAGGTTTAATTTCAACACAATTTCTCTGGAATTGAAATTCAATTTTTCCATTCTCTATCATCTAAATACTGAAGGCGATTCAAAGCCTAAAATCGAACACATTTTAACGAAACATGTCTCCTTCTCATTCCACAACAATTCTGAATCCTAATAAACAAACAAAAGTGTCGTTCGTTCCGAGCAATGTGTGAGCAATTTTCATCGCGTGTTTCGTTGGAATGTCGTGGCGATTATTACCATGAATGTAGCGTATTGCACGCTTCGTTCAAAAGGGCGCGCGAAAATGGGGAAAATCCAGGACGCACGGGCATCGTATAGAAAACTAAAGGCGGTGAAACTTTCGAAAGCTACGTACGACATCATGTAGCAGGCACGTCTTATCATATCACGCTAAAGGCTTTAAAGAAGCCCGATAAATTAGTATTGAGGTACGGAACCAGATACTCCATTATATTTTTTTTTTATTTTCTTCAATTCTTTTTTTTTATTCCTTGCGTTCTTTATTCCTTTTAACGACTATCTACGTACCCGTCTCCCTACGTTACCCTCTCATAAGCATGCTCACGCACATTCGTTTCTCCTTTTTTCACTTCCCCCCTCCCCACGAGCTAGCACGCATGCATTCTCACATCTAAATTATTTCTAAACGCCTCGAAGTAAAGGAAAGGGTGCGAACGGTGCGCGAGCGCAAACAAATGAACCAGCTCTCCTTCCGTTTGCTGGGGTGGAAGAAACGTTTTCACGGGGATCGACCACGTTCGAGGACTGTAACGCGCGATATATCCTCGAACGAGTTCCCCGTTAACGCGAAGCACATTATCACACGTGCAGGCCTACGAGAAGTTTTCTTATCGAGAGAACACCGACGACCGCTCCTCGCGGTCGACTGCATTAGGCTCCTTTTATTTATTTATTTATTTATTTATTTATTTATTTATTTATTTATTTTTGTTGCATCCACCGGTTAAACTTCTGCGGATAACGAGCAAGCGAAGTCATCGAAGATACTTCGACGCGTCTAATGCCGATACCTACCTTTTGTCTCGCCGTTACGTCTACGTGCCTCGACGAGTATCCGTATCGATCCGCGAGGCTCGATTTACTCGCGACTTGTTGATGCTCGAGTATCTCGGCAGAACACGGAGTTGAGATACTTATTGAGAAGAATTTTTTGTCGGAAGACGCGAACGTCTTTCCACGAACATCGTGACCCCTAAAGTTGCACCTACTGTTCGTTATCTCGTTTCTCATATGAACACGGAAAGCATTAGTGCGCGCTTCTCTACGATACGGTGCCGCCAAACATTGTTCGTCTCCTCGGAACACGGTTCTCTCTCTTCGTAATCGTTACTCGTTTTTAGAATCCTCGATCGAATTCGTTCGATCCGCCAGGCCATGTGGTTTGGTATTATCCAAGAACAAATTCGTTTCGCGCGAATACGAGGCCGACGATCCTCGGACTCCCTTCCGTTCAGGTTCTAGGTACGTCACAGCATTCCCCCCTGTTTTT